AATATAAGGTTTTTTATAATATTGAACCCAATCTATTTTATTTAATAAATTTTTAATCAAATTTAAAAAATGTATACGGATTATATAATTTAATAAAACTTGCCTATAAGATTATTATCAAATGTTAATAATTCATCAAATATTAATTCCACTTTTTCAGCTTTCGCAGTTAATAATAATTCTATTTTAGCTTTAACACTATTTTCGAATCTTTTTTCATTTAATTTTCTATATGTATAAAATAAATTATTTAATGTATATTTAATAAATACTAATCTAATTATTACTATTACTTACCATTTATAATGTACTTGACACGATTTAAAAATATGAACTAAATATTCTTTCCAAGTAAAAGAACTATCAATCAAAGCTAAAGTTTTACCTAATCCAGTAAGTTGTGCTATGTCAAGATCACCGATTATGCAGCACTATCCATTTTTATGAATATGATTAAACTTTGCTGATTCGTCAGTAAATTGGTTAACAAGACCAAATAATGCTTCAAATATATATTGATATGCAATCGTAGTTGCATAATTGGTAAAAACTTGGGCAAAAGTTAAAACTAATATATAAAATTATATATTATAGTTAATATATATAGTATTATAAAAATATAATATATAATTAAAAAATACTTACTTATATTATACTTTTTATCGTAATAATTTACCTCGAATTCATTAATTTCTCTAGCAACTCTTTTAAATAATAAATTAATTTCAAAATAATCACATTTAATCTATTTTTGTATTTGAGTTTGAGAGGTACAAATAATCATTACATGCCCATTACTAAAAAAATCTAAAACAAATAAATTAGATAATTAAAACTTTAATATTAGAAAAAAAATTTATAACTTACTTAAACGTTGAACATAATCCTGAAAATTATCGATATTATGTGAAAAATTATATACAACTCCTAATAAATCTTGACCAAATAGATGCTTTTCCTTTTGAATTTTATTTACACAGTAACGTAACTTATTTGTATCATTAAGTGAAGCATGAACTTCACATAAATTATCAATACC